TCCACCATGGGCTACTCCTAGATCTGGTTGATCATTTCCACAGAGGAGGAGGAGCAACGTTCGTCACTGTCCTAATAATTAGAATAGAAAAGGCTAATCATTACGCTCACTTTAAATTGATTTAGATGTACCATTATACATGGCACTACTGGAATCGCCGAGAGATTTCCAGACATCCACTCATGAAGAAAGATCATCTTGTTGACTAACAAAAGCAAACCAAGAAATAATCAATACCTCCCTTCAAGCCCTGAAGGATGCGACAGTCCATCAGTTTTCAGGAAATGATCCCAGATAGTCTGCTGCATTCCCTTTCTGTGGAGGTATTGACAACCAAATGCCATCTGCACTGGGCATCTACTGATTTCTGTATCTAGTTGCTCTAAAAAATCTTTTTTGATGCCTATAAATCATAGTTGCATCCATCTCTCTGTTAGGAGCCAAGCGAATGCTCCAGATTAACACATCTCCACATCTTGAGAAAGTTTAGATTTGGGTTGGGGGTATAGGTTGCAGCCGTGTTGGTCTCAGGACATAGGCAGACAAGGTTCTTTGGGTAAATCTGATATCCTTTATTAAACTAACTCAACTAGTTGGAAAAATTCTTCTTAGCAAGCTTTTGGGTACGAAGAGGATTTGTACCTGAAAGCTTGCCAAGAAGAATTTTTCCAACTGTTTGAGTTAGTCTAATAAGAGGCACTGGATTTACCGAAAGAAACTGGTCTGGATTTGGATTGGAACTTGGGGGCTTGGTCCGACCCGAGGCGAATGCCCTGGGCAGGGCTTCTCTAGCATGCTGAAGACACATACCATTATATCACTTGCCAATACACTTGAAGTGAGTTGCAACCTTGCTATAACACAGAAGAAGGGGGGAAAAATTTACATCAGGAAACCACAGACTTCCCTAATGGGTTATAGTGCATAATTGAGTATAAAGAATAGTTATTGCTTGAACTACAGTTGAACTGAGATTTCCAGCTTCCAAGCAAATGTTCAGTGGCTGCTGCTAAGCTATAATAATAATTTCTAATTGTGTGGGTTTTAAGTGAAAACAGAAAGGAGTATTATTTGATTGGTCATTGCAAAGTGTTCTCTGCAGTGCCAGTGGGTCAACAGAACAGCCCATGGAAATCACAGGTCTTGTACCTGAACAATCCTCACAGAAGCTGGGAACTAATGAACCAACGCCATAGTAGAAGCATGCTCATTACACAATTACGGAGACAGTATTCAACACCATAAGATTGTCACACACCTTGCTAATGAACCATGTTTTACACACATTTAATTAATTAATTATGGCTGAAGTCACTCACTGCTAGCCAGCAATTGCTTTGCTAGACACAAACCTGACCATCTTACAAATATAATGCTAGAGTGCTAACAAGTTATTAAGTGAGACTGCATGTTGCCAGGAATTTTAAAGGAATCAAGTAATAAGAGATCAAATATCACAAAGAAGGGATTTTAATCCCAGCAGATAATTAATTACACCTCCTGCGTCACCACTTTTTCTATATACTTTGCATGGGAGGGGGGGAAGCTTTCTAATCGAGATAATTTGATCCTACCATAGAAAACTTTTAAAAGTGATAATAGCACCCCTTAGTACATATGTCAAGAATGATTAGTATTTGTGCTGTGGTTCTGCTTCAGGCTTGCGATCCAGAATAGCATACCCATGCATCAGAAACCCCTGCACAAACCTAAAGCAAGCAACAGCCCTTGCCCCGACCAGTTCACGCACTTCCAGTTTACAACAGAGGAGGAAGGCAGGGCAAGAGGCATGAGGAAGGGAAGGTCATGCAGCAGCTTTGTAGCAGAGCCAGTTGCCCATCTCTTTCATGGGCCACGTTCATTATGAGACATGCACCACTCTGGCAGGCTGTAGTGCCAATGGAGAAAAGGACAGTATGAAGAGCTGCCAGCACATGCTGCCAAAGGCAGGTGGAGAGGCGTCCCTTTACTGGAGCAATCCCTGGACTTTGTTACTAGCACTCGAGTCACTCCAAAAAGGATGGAGAAACAGAACCTCCTCCTCATGCCAGCAGTGCTGTTGATCCCAGAGTTTTAGTAGCCATTTAGTCATTATTGTTGTCCATAGAAGAATTTAAGCTCGCCTTCCCGCTTTTTTTTTTTTTTTTCCAAGCATACAAAATGGAAAGTTACATTCTTTCCAGCCTAAGTGATGTTGTTTCAACCTAGCTGTTTTGAATCAACCATTTGAAAATTGGGAAGTGCCAGATTTGGAATAACTCATGCAACCTTTGTTCTCCCCCTTGCGCAAATGTGTCACAGCTATGATGAGACGGGGGGGGGGGGGGGGGGGGGTTTCCCTTGAGACCCATGTCTTGGAGATGGAAGCACAAAGAAGCAGGTTGAAGTTTCCATGGGCAGCTACAAGCCTGGTGTTCCCTCACTTGATGTTGCACCCCAAGTGCCATTCTCCTAAAATAGGGCTTTTGGGGGTGTGCGTAATACAAATACCTGCAACATGATGGATACACAGGCTTATTATAGTCTCAGGTAATGCAAGATGACCATAACTCCTTACACAATCCTATAAAGTATCCAAAGAAACTGGATGAAACCATACTTATCTGTATCTGAATTAAGTTTGCACTAAATTTAAAGCTTCTTATTTCATTCGAGTACTCGTACCTGCATCTCCCTTACCCAATTTCTTCCATTACTTCCCAGTTTCTCCTACCCCTCTAAGCTTAGATTCTGTTAGCTTCCTACAGTCCATCATTAGTTAATTCCCACTGACTTTTAACATTTGTACGCTACTTAATTGGTTTGTCACACACCTATTTCCTCTTCATTCTACTTCCAATTTTATTTTCCTACATTTTGACCTCCTTCCTCCAATTTATTTTCCTCCTACCTAAACTATGATTTTTATTGATGCTGAATGCAGCCCTAAGGCCAAAAATAATAGTCATCCAAAAACCAAGTGACCGCATTCCTTCAGTTTTTAACAGTTTCATTTCAGAGGAAAGCATTTCTATTTGGCTAAATTTCCTTTTCTGTATTTCTAGCTACTGAAGAAGCTGCACATACAATAAATATTTAATAGGAAATCCCCTCCAGCTGAATTCAGGCCCCATAGCATCTCATTACCGTGTCTTGGAATAGCATCCTTATTGTCACTTGCTTAATTATGCTAAGAAAGAGTTGAATTGTGTGGCTGTTGGGATCCGAAAGTGATTAAATTCACTTGGCAAGATTTTGGATATCTCATTATGATCCTCATTTAGCACTTCTAATGGAGTTAATTTTTTTTAACAATACTGATTTGGGAAAACTTGCTCAGTGTTGCAAACATTGTCCTAACTTTGAGAACTTTCTGCCATGCAAGGAAAATACAGCAAAGTTTAAAAGGCATTTCACCCACTAGCATGCCAGCTCTCTTTTTTGATCCACAGTTACCACTTAGAGAAAATAAAACTGAAACTCCTTGGTATGTATGCATCATTTCTAATGGATTTTGGATGCACCCTGTGCACTAACACTTGCTGCATACACCTTTCAGTGCTAATGATCACAAATGACAGCTGGTTCCTAAGCAATCTTCATGACAATTGTTCTCCCACTGTTTTTGAGAGTTTGTTCCTGACACTTCAGGTGGAAGCAATGGGAAGCTAAAATGCTGTATTTTCTTGGATGGTCTGTACAGGATCCACTTTGTAGGGATGAAATTTGTGTCCTGTGCAATAAACCCGCACCAGGTCTGTGCACCACCTGAGTCCAAATTAAGACTTCAGATGAGAAATCAGGCACGCAGCTGCACAGGGAGTTAATTCCACCCTCCACGATCAGATGCAGAGATCAGATCCATTAAAAACACTGCACAGGATGCTGCCAGCACTCACGCACAGCTCTCGACTTAGTATAGCGAAAGCATCACAACAGCACAGTACAACAGACTCTCATGGGAAGTCCGCATGGCAGTCACAGAGACAACATGCTGTTCATACACTTTGATTTGGCCAAAAAAAAAAACCCCAAAGCCACAAACCTACACACTCCAACAGTATAATCCAATCTGCTGGCTTCTTTGGAATAAGGTACACACAAAAAAACAAAAAAAACAAAAAATCTCTTCTCATTGAATTGACAGGGATAGTCCTAACTCAGTGCGGGGGTGGGGGTGGAAATAATGATCAAATAGGTCTCCCTCACACACTTAGATATGAAAAATATATCCACAGTCTCAAATATGTTCACTAAAAAATGATAATTTTAAATGGCAGGAATAAGGAATGCACTTCCCAGGTGTTCACTTACTAAAAGACCCCAGAAACAGTTCCCTATTAAACAGCCTTAGCTGCCTTTATTACCAGCCAAACCACTAAGCTGCCTCCGCTTTGACTCTCAGAAATTTACCCTAAAAGGTAGGCATCTAGACAAACACTGGAGCAGTGCTGCTGTAATAGCAGTACTTCACAAGCATGAGATCCTCTCAAGGCAGGTAAATAAAATATTATACATGCAGACAACTGCAGTGGAAAGAGGCTAAATGGAAAGATATCAGCAGGCCCTGAATCAGAAATCAGGAACTGCAGACTTAAAAGCCAACACGCCTTCCTGTGAACCGCACCGTTTCTTCTGAAAGAGAATCTGTGTCTGATTACATGAACCAACACCTATAGCTCTGCTATTATAATTTGCATCCTGGTAGCATTTACAAGCCCCAAGCGTGAAGCAAAACCTCATTGCACCATGTGCTGGACAAAGAGAACAAAAAGAGAGTTCTTCCCCTCAAAAGGTCAATCCTCTAAATTACAAAAATCTTCGCTAACTAACTTCACACTTCTCCTATCGACCTTAATGGTAGAACCTCTAGGTATTTCTGTAGATGCAGAATCTGGGACTAAATCCCCAACCAGAAAAGCATATAACACTATAATACACTTTGCCTTCAAGTTACACCCAAATATTCACATTAAGAAGAGTCACTCTTATCTTTCCAGAAGTCAGATATCTTTTTTTACCTTCCTGTTCCTCCAGTGAGGTTTCCTTCCCTTGGAGGACTGCTGAAGTAGACATTCTTTTTCCATGTTAAAAAAACCCCCAACCCTGGGCTAAGTCCTTAGCAGGTGTAGATTGATGAAGCCCTAGTGAAGGCAGTGGAATTATGCCAATTTGCAACAGCTGAAGGTCTGGCACATTTTCTTAGAGCAATGTGATTACCATGCAAAGATTTTCCCTCGATGGTGTGTCAGGGCCAAAGGTATCCTTAGATATTGTGAGAGCTCTAGATCCTGATTATATTTAGCATTTATACCTAGCCTTCCAAACTGTTTGCAAATTCAAATCCCCCCTCTCCTGTATGATTTCTTTAAAGTTTATTCATACAAAACCAAAATGGCATGGTAAAACTAAAAGCCTCCAAGCCGCTACCCAACCCAAGATTTGTGGTTCTCTCGAGTGTAGTTTTTTAGTGTCTCTGTTCAAGCTGGTATAGGAGATTGACTTTTAAGGTTGATGGTATTGATCCTATTCACAGCCCTATCCTCATTTATCATGATTCTTTAATCAATAGTCTAGCTACTTAAGATACTGGGAGTTTGGGTCCTTATTTATCTAGATGACATTTTGATAGTGCCTATCTCCTCAGAGGCTCCTGTCTTTTAGGTCAGCACTTCATTTCACCCAGTCTCTCCCCACGGTGCGGTAGCAATGGAAAGAAATTAGTGTCACTCCTCCAAGGGTATGTTTGGTCTCTCAGATTTTCGTGTGCTCTGTATCAGAGGGTGAGATCAGGGCTCAGGCTCCTCAGTGCTTTTTGTCATCATCATCAGCACTCCTCCTCCTCAGCTGGTGAAAATCAGCATGGTTTCATTGGAGCCATGACAATTATCAGCACCTGAGGATCTAGTCTCAGCTCCCTCTCCATTTCATTGGGTCATCTCTGCCTTTTGCAACTGCCCAGATCCACTCAGAGGTGATCCTGAGGTTACCAGCCCCCTACACCCCTTCTCCTGACCTTTTCTGCCCTAAGAAGCAAAAGCAGCATTACAAGGTAGAGGGCATCCTCTCTTCAGCAAGAGGCCAAAACTTTCCCAAGTTAGGCAGCTTGCCCAGGGCATGCCATTCTCTGCATGGCTTTTGAATAAATGTTCTTGAGTCCTCACACTCCCTCATCAAAATATTTTCAGGCAACCAGACTACTGGAAATCCACAGGTAGGTATTTAAGCACGAATTTCTCCATCCAATGGTTCATTTTAAATAATAATTCTTGTTCACTTTAGCCCTCCATTTTAGGAAAAGGAAACCTCTAGCTGATATTTGGCTCTGTTTGTGAAATGCTCGTGTGACAGCCGACAGGTAGTAGGAGACGGCTGCATCCCAGGGTAAATGCGAATGGAGGTTAGAGCGAGGCACGCATGATGGGAAGTCTTGAACTAGACGGGTTTAGTTCAGCGTCCTGTGGCTGTAAACGGCAGCAGAATCTGGCCTGAAGGTTAGCATCAGACAGAAAGAGCCCTTCATCATCAACGCTTTGCCTCTGCCTTCCCTAATGCTGCCTAAGCAGTTCTCCCTGATTGATCTCATGTACTGCTCTGTCAGCAATGCCTGGTCCAAAGCTTTTCTTGAGGTCAGAGAGAAATAGGGCAGCCTCTACAAAGGACCCACAGCCCTTCAAGTCCTAAATAACCCTTGAGAGTTGCAGATTTTTTTTTCCCCGAGACAGAGGGCTAAATTATGGCTCGTTGAACTCAATGCAGTTGAATGCAGAGCGTAGAGAGAGCTCAGCGCTGGGCTCAGTCCTATGGTTTACAGTCAACTCTTTCTATGTGAAGTATATATAATTCTGGACATTTCCTTTGAACGAAGGAGCTGCCTAGTGTGGCTTTTAGGAATAATTATAATGTACAGGTTTCTTTTTGTTAAAGAAAGGATCGTCTATATATCCAGTCACAGCACCAAAGTCTACTTAGTGTTAGACCGACGTAAATTTGAAATATCCCGTCTGATGCTGTCAAAGCCAATGGAGTTATTCAAGATTTACTTTGGTGTCGCAAGAGAAGAATTTGACTCTCTGTTTGCAGCTCCCCACAAATTCCCAGACTACAGTTCAACACAAGCAGCAAAGCCTATGATTTCTTTAGCCCTCCAGCAGGCAAGTTGTGGGCTGTGCTTCGTGTGCAAACAATGATCCTGGAGAGTCATTTGGACATGTATTAAACTGCACCAAGTAGAACTGAAGCTGCATGAGGTGGTATGTGCAATCTAAAATGAGGGCTGGGAAAACGCACCTGTTTGTGCCTGGAGAAGACTAGGGTTTGAAGCATCTATGAAATCCTAACCGTTCCCACCAAGCCACCAGTTTTTCTACACCACATCAAAATGTCTATGTGGTGCTAGTCTGCCACGTTGCTCTCCTGCCTCTGCAGTTGCTGTTTTCTGCATCTTGGGTTGCTCACTCAGTCCCCCCAGTAGCTTATGTCGCACCATTCCCCTTTCCCACTCTCAACAATTAGGGCATCTCCAGCTCACTAAATAGAGCAACATTAGCAGAGCATGGGCATGGGTAGGAGGAAATGGGGCCCATCAACCTGCATTCATCCCTAGAGCAATTTTTTTTAACTTGGCATTTTCTCCATTGCCCTACAGAAATGAGCAAATGAATCTGTTCCTAATATCCATCCTCCCTATAAAATTATCCTCCAGCCCACTGCAATCCTCTATGGGTGAAATTTATCTCTATGCATAGGCCAGGTCTAAGCATACAAACCCCTCAAGTCCACCCTCAAAGTAGGCTTAATTGTGCTTTCCATGGGCCATAGGCCCTGTACTGGCCCTCAAGAAAGAAGATGGGATTTTACCCTGTCTGCTTTTCCATGCAAAGTTCTTCCAGAAACCAGGGTTAAAAACAAAGCTGCTCCCTGCCACATTAAAAAGTGTCTTGCTGTAGCTTAGATCTTGGAGGCGGCATACGTGATGCAGTGTGACAGTTGCTTTCGTAACTGCTTTGTATTGTAGGAGTCAAGTGGTGCATCTTCAACACGCGTGGGAAAGGATTTACACGTTCCTTTTTTTGTTGTTGTCATTTTTAATACACACATGCACACACACACGCACATCTACAATACAGCTGTGTTCAAATTTAGCCATATCTTTGTTCACCAAAGTCATCTCCCTTTGGCATGGCAGCATCCTACAGGCACGCAGCTTAGAGCAGAAAAAGCTTATTAAATGATGAAGATGTGCTGTTTACAAAAATTAAGATGTGCACCATGTGTTTTGGGAGGAATTAAATTTTTTCAAGAGCCACATTGAAGTATGCTGAATAATTTTAAAATACTAAATCAAGGCCTTAATTACTATGTCTCTAATCTCATACAGTCATACTTCACTTTGAGGCAATTTGTGATTAAATAATAATACTTTAAGGCAAATAACAACACTTGGCACTTTTATAGTGCCTTTTGCCTAATTAGTTTGGGATTAGTTGGTTAACATTGGGTATGGAGCTTTGAAGATATAAAGTGCTATACAAGTGTTAAGTATCATCATTACCAAAGGATCTCAAAGCACATTACTATTAGTCAATTAAGCCTCACAGCAGTGTTATGCAGGTAAATATTATTATATCTCTTTGTATACGAGTGAGCTCAGAAAAGCTAAGGTCAACACGTCCTAAGTGGTGCCTGGATTCTGCAAAAATTTATGTACACACCCCACGTTGGTACTACTTTGGCCAAACCCATTGGCTAGTCACCACTGTAAGGTATGTGGTGAGCATTTGCTACGCCAATCCATGGATCCCTAAAATTGGAGGTTTATATCCAGAGTGGCTGGAATCACAGTGGAGACTAAATGAGTGGCCTGCAACAGGAGCTGATGGTGCTCAGCATTTTGGAGAATCACATCATCGTTTAGCAGACCAGGTGTGGATGTTGGGACCCCACCACAGTTACCCCAGTTAGAAAAGAAGCACCTAAATTATTTGGCCACATGCTTGCAGAGTGACATTGCAGAGGAGTGAAAAGCAAACATCCTGTCTTCTTAACCCAATGGCTGTCCTGGCAAAGATGGGCACAGAACATACTGAGACTTGATGTTCTCACTGCCACGGAGCATGCCCACCCAGCTTGCTCTTCCACAGTGCTCCCAGGAGCACCGCCGTTCAACCTGCTCAGTTCCACAAATTGAGATGAGCCTAGACCAGGGGCAGGCAAAATGGTAGATCCAGCTGGTGGAGACCCCAGGAGCAGTAGAGCTGTGACAGTGCGGGGCCACGATTTCATGGAGACCAGCCCAAGTAGTGCTGGCGGGGTGTGCGGCTGGGCAGGGAGCTGCTCCGGGGCCAGGGACAGGATTTTTGTGGTGGTGACAGCGTGGTCCAGAACCGGGGCAGAGCCTCAATCCACTGCCCGCACACCCTGCCAAGGCAGAGCCGCAATCTGCTGCCTGCATGCCTGTCACAGGCCAGCTGGGCACTGTGAGTGTATCAATTTTATCACAGGCCAACTGGGCAGTTTGATTCAGTTTCGGATCAAGGAGGCAAAAGTTGGGAGAGGAATAAAGGCAAATTTATTATAGCTTACACACACACAGCAGTTAACAGAAAGATAAATGCGATAAGCAGATAAGGCAGTATAAAAGAGTTAATAGTAAAATAATAACAACAGATAATAATAACAGATAGATAGATAGATCAATCTGTCACAGGCCAACTGGGCACTGTGAGGGTATTAGCCACACTGGGCTGTTCAAAACAACAAATAGAGAGACATGGGTTGGCAACTTATCGATAGTCCCTCAATGCCAGGTGTGCGCCAAGTGATTCCAGCAAAGTCAGGCATCTCTGACGATCAACGCTGTCAGAGGGATTACCGGGGAAGGTCCCTTGCTCAGGATCCGATCCGATCCTCCCTCACACCGGGAGTCTGGGGTCCGGGCGTGGGACAGAAATAACTGTTCTGTTCCCTCCTTCCTGCTGGTCATCTGATGCATGTGTTTTTTATACCTAGTCTTATGTTAATCTGTTGGCCTCAGGGCCACTCACAATATTG